AAAATATTTCTAGCATGGAATTTGAAGTCACCAAATTGCTCACTAGTTAGTTGAACTTCTATCTCAATTTCAATTTAGTCATTGAACTTTAGCTTGTCACTATTAGATCACTTTGTTCAAATGTATTAGCTATTTCACTTCGCTACAATATAAAAGAGACTAACTTTGGCACTTTTCAAGAAGGACGTGTGTTAGCTAATCCTTTCATAATTTTTTCAGTTTTTATCAGCCGTTCAAGAAACGATGCCGTATGGGGAATTTTTTAATTTTTTTTAGAACAAGCACGCGACGTCATTTTACTCATTATGAGAAAAAAAAATGAAGAAAAGAAGAAGCCATGTCTATGCTCTTTATACATTTCCCCCACACGCTTTGAATCTGACACACACAACTCCGTCTTTACTATTTTTCCATTTTTCCACTCAACCAACCATACCTCTTCACTCCTCCATTTCCCCTACACAGCGACCCATATCGTGCATGATTTCTCCTTTCTTTTTCTATCTTTTGAATTTTTTTCTCCCTATGATCTTCTCTCTATATATTGCTCAAATGTTGTCAAATAAATTTCGTTTGACCATCCCATGACCTTCTTTTTTTTTTTTGGCAGGGTTTGCAGTTTTCATATATATGAGATTGAGAAAAAGATTGCTCAAAATAATTATTGAAAGAAAGTATTTTGGTAACTAATGTCGATTTTTTGCTATGAATCTGGATATGGTAGATGGGTTTGCTATTTGTTTCATTGTTTTCATATCAATACAATGAAACTTTCTACAAGATTTTTAATTTTTTTACTTGGAAATGTTACAGGCAATTTTAGACGAGACATGCTATTAATCGGTTGATACAATTCAACTTTTAAGGTTGATATTTATGGTTTTCGTCTCTTATTACACTTTTCTGTTTTGAGGAATGACATGTGCTTAAATTTGGTAACTTTTTTTTTTGTATTTTATTTATTAAATGTACGAAAAATAATTTAGCATTTTTAGCATTTTTTCTCCAACTGAAGATAATGTAGGACTGTTACGTTTGTATTGTTACTGGCAACTGTGATGGTGGCCAGGGGAGGAGCCAGCCCTTCAAACTAGGAGGGTCCCGAAGTTGAAGGGGTGGGGGCCACTGCCCCCTAATTTTTTTTTAAAAACATTATCTGTTAAAATGAGGAAAGTTGGTACTTTGTGATGGAGAAAGGAAACAAAGGAATATAAATTAATGTACGAAGACTTCACAAAAAAATCAAGAAACATATAAAAAAACTACTAATCTTTTGAAATATTTCTTCATCACTAAGTCTGAGGATTGAGGAAACTCTTTCACTCATAATTGATAAACAATACAACTTCACAAACAACTGAATGGACTGAATAGGTTGAATGAGCTGGATAAGGAGATTAAAAAAAGTATTTTGAGCCCAAAAAATAAAAAATAAAAATAAAAATAAATTTTTTTGTCAAAAAATTGGGGGGGTCCTGCGCCCCCCCCCCCCCCCCCCCCCCC